CAAGTAGTTATTTTGCTACTTTCACATTAAGAAATCCTCACAGTGTTGCATAATATCCATGTAGGTTTGTAGAATTGTTTATCTCGATAAGTATGTTATATGCATGTTGTTGTTTACCTATGTTTATATCATTCTACATGTTTGACCTAGTTTTGGGTACCTTTATCTTCGAGGTGTATATAAAGGCATCATTGTTCACAATTCATATTAACAATACAATATTTTGTACACATGCACGGCAGTAATGCACACCAGTATTAAAGTAGAAGATAAATCTATTAGTTTGTGCAAATGTATGGAACGCAGATCTAGTCATATTAGAGTTCTGTTTAAATGAATGTTTTGATTAAGTAAACTTCATGTTAAATTAGAACAGGTTTAGGAAATTGTTCCACATACATGTCTTTTGAATTACATATGTTGTGATGTTAAATACATACAAATATGTCATGGGTAACCAGTAAGTTCGGGTCAGCTAGACATGTGATGTTCACTTTACTATACAAGTTATACAGGTAGTTCACTGCTCAAGATAATTCTTAACGAAACTTGTGGTTAGTGAGACACATATTATTGTACAATTTATTATAAAATTGTGTTCAGAGAAGATATTTGTACATTGTAAATATTACTTAATGTGTTCTTGTTTTATGTTACAGATTGTTCCTACCACCTTTTTATTGGTAAATAAATACCATAAACCAACTGGAATTTTCGTCTTGTCCTACTTGGTCACATAAATAAAAATAATAATAATAAATAATTAGTTCTTGATAAATCAAATGTAAAATGCATATTCACAAAGGTGAAGAGATAGAGAAATCAAATTAATTTTAGAGTAGATGCAAACAGTTAATATACAATGCCTTTGTGATGAATTTTAAGACTTCAGTTGAAAAGCCAAAATAATTGAAATATTAAACGTGCACAAATATATCAATGAAATTAAGAAGTTGAATTTCATGAGAGCTAAATCGAAAGAACTGAATTAAAAAAAATGTATATATACATATTATATATATAAGTGTAAAAGTTAATTTCTTTGTGCTTTCTATATCGATATTTCTTCACTAAGGGCAGTTATGTTAGTTTAAGAGTTGTTGTAAAATGTGCTTTATAAATAATAATTAATTTCATTACAACATGTATTGGTAACAATCCTCTGTTAAAACTGATCTTTAAATAACTGTATCTCACTTCTATTCTCAATGACCGTGTAGTGTAGGGCAGCGCCGCGAGAATTCCATCGGCATCGAAAGCAAGTTTTTGACTTGCCTAAATAGCCGAGCGGTCTAGCGCGCTGTTCCTGCACTGCTAGGAGACAGAGAAATGTTTGTTTTTACAGTACAGTCAAAGAATTTGTAATAGTGCCAATAGATTTTTAAGAAAATGATGCTCAAACCTTAATATAAAAGACATAATTTATTTAATTGTTGAAAAAATTCATAGTTTATTTTTGAAATTAAAATTTGTTGTATACGTGTTAATGATGTAATAGATCAGTTATAGACTAATTATTCATATGTTGTGCCAATAGGTTGAAAAAAATATATGATGATCATTTTGCCAATTGTTTGCAAAGATAGTTCATAGTTTATTTTTTCTGATTAATAATTGACTTATTTTGTTATTTTTACCTGTAATAGTTCATTTATTAATGAGATAAATATATTAAAATTGCCTTTGATTTTTCTTATTTGAGGTAGATTTGATTGAAGCCTGAGGTGGATTTTGATGAAATCATCCATAGATCAGTCAGTTAGGGAACTCAACAAAACTTTTTTTTTATCAACACCATAAAATGAGAACAGACTCAAGTTAAAATTTCAGAGTACATGTATTAATTGTAAATAATTATTTAGGAAAGAAAAAAGTGTTTTCACATTGGTACAATACAGTACAAACAACAATCAAAATCTTAAATTTTAACTTCAGTCTGTTCTCAGTTTAATGTCAAGAAATCCATTTGCTTCTTCAGCACTTTATCCCTTGCAATCAGGAAATATATGTAATGGAAGAAACAAGAACTCAATTTGGTTGAAGTTGTATTCAAAATGCAAACAAAACAAGACGAACAATGTAATTATCTTTTCAATGTTAATGCTTAAATTCAAGTAGCCAGAACAAAGAGAAGAGTATAAAACAAGAATATTCATATTGACAGTGCACAGGGAATGGACATTTAAACACGCATTCAAGGAATAGTTGAATATACCGGTACTGTACATATTCATCCTGACAATATCATCATCAAGTATAAAGTATACACATATATTTACATTTGCAAATGTTTTCCGTTATATAACACTACTGAAAGCAAGCGTTGTAATAACTATAAATACAGGTACCGGGTCAAGAGGTCATAGATGTTCGGATAGATTAACGTACGACATAAATTCTCAGTGACATCATAAAGGGTCGACGCGCATTCAGTGGATTACATACATGCCGTTGGGTTTGAAAAATAATGCATTTCACACGTTAAAAGTCACAATCAGGCAAATTTAAAGTATGAATAAGTCACAAATGTAAATATAAGTAACAAGGTATCATTTTTTGAGTTTTATTGGGATGTAAAACAGGTTCGCACTTGATCAAATCTTCATGATCACATGACCAACCCGTTTTACAATCTAATAAATCTAAAAAAAAAAAATGATGCCTTATTTCTTAAATAAATTAAAGAATGAGAAATTGCATTCAGATACCGAGATAATCAAGTCAACAAAGACACTTCACAATCTGAAATAAAATAAACCAGTCACTTCTTACTGCATCGTCTCTTTGGCTTAAATTCTGGCATTTGGCTGCTATCGGGACAGTACCATTTCCCCATAGGTAGGTTTGAATTTGTCAGCTGCAGACATGATAGATGGAACCATTTAAATAGACAATTGCGGTTGTCACAGGCCACCATTGTGTCAGTTTCTCCTTTCCTACAGAAACAGAAAAGTGTGTCAGATTCCTGCAGTTCAACCAAGGATGCTGGAGTAAACTTCCTTGAAAAAAAAAAAACTCCCAACAAGTTCAGGCATAACTGCCAATGAGTGAAAGTCAGTTGCCTTGGTCTTCATTTCCTCCCACAGTTCATTATCTGGTTCGACTCCTCCCATGTGAATATCTTTTTCTGTCCATACGACAAAGACTGCGTACTCATTTTCACATACAAAAATCTTTGTTTGTATCTGATAGTAGTTTTGATGGTTTCTTTTAAGTCGACGTCCATCTGGTGTATCCTCCAAGCAATATTTTCCTCCAGTGTAGAGACTCAGGGATGTTTGTGCCCTGAGGGTATGTCGTGATCCTGCAAGTTCAAGGACACTGAAAAAACAAGTCTGTTTATGCTTCAAAACTTTCTCTTGGAAGTTCATTCTTTCTTTGTTACTCTATAATTGATAAGAATTTGAGGTTGGAACTTCAACAACAGATTATTTGTGAGCTGAAGGTCTGTAATAGTTTTGACGAAAGGTCATTGTATCAAGTTCAAGGTCACAGGCAGAGTGTTAAATTCATATCAGGTCTATAATTTTCAAATAGAAACATTAGATGTCCACATTTGCTTAAGAACAGAAAATGTATATTTAGTGAAAATCAAGGTTATTTTGGCAAGTCTATGATCACATTTAGAAATTTGTATAGAGAAAATTAAAAAAAAAAAAAAACAACATTGCAGAGGTGGTAGTAGGAGTCTGTACTTCCTGTTATCTCTTTAAGATTCACACAGTCCATAGAAGATAAAACATATAATATATATATTATATGAATGCTTCCTGATATATAGAGGATATCTATATTGTGTTATTTGATATTGGCTTTATCCAACGAGTTAAAATGGTGTATATATTTGCGAGGCTTTCCAAACGAATATACACCATTTCAATGAGTTCTATTTATCTCATATGACTTTCATTTAAACAAAATTTTAAGACTTCAACCCTGGCATAGCATACTAACTAGACATTGATTCCTTAAATAACTACTGTGTTTTACAAGCTCATACACATTATTTACATGTCTACCGTTTGTAATGTTCTGAATTTGTTTTTACAGATATCACAGAATATGTTGAGCTAAGAGAACCAGACGAATCACCACCTGGCAGGTTTACATATTTTCTTCACTTGGAATAGTTCATCAGTTAAAAAGCCATAAAGTAAATGCATATAGTACATTTAATTGTTTTTGAGAATAATTAAAATTAATCAAGGTAAAGCAAGATTAAATTTGAAAACACATAATTATTATTTCAAAAAGTAGACACATTTTTGTCATGATGGAATAAAATAAGATAAATAAAGTACAAACATTCTCTATAGATGTAATGTATGATAATTTGTTTTCTTTACCAAGATTACAGACACAAGAAGAAAAGATAAGAGAAACAAGAAATCAGAGTGGTAAGCAATATTCTCTTATTTTATTAGTTTTTACCTCACATGAGGCGTCCGTTTTTCTAGCCGTCTGTATGTAAACTTCTCATGTTTTGACTTGTTCTCCAGAACCACAGGGCCAATTTCAACCAAACTTGGCAGAAAGTGTCTTTTGGTAAAAGGGATTCAAGTTTGTTCAAATGAAGGGCCACACCCTTATAATTATTCAAGGGGAGATAATTGTGAAATAGTGAAAATTTGGTGACATGCTTCTAAAGAACTCACATTGCCATGAAAGATAAAACTTATGGGGAAACATCCTCAGGTTGTGTAGAATCAAATCATGACCCCCTTGGGTGGGGGGGGGACAATTGACGATCAAAGGTTAACATAGATAAATATAGGAAAATTCTTAACAAATCTTCTTCTCAAAAATAGCATAGCCATGTTTAATATACAATTGATTACCACTTTTGAGGTCAACATGGTGAAATAAGGACCAGATACCTGGCCCACGAGGTCATCGAGTGGGCCAGGTCGAGGGTCAGGTCGAGAGTCCTTATTTCACCATGTTGAACTCAAAATGGGGTAATCAATTTTTTTATTATACCGATATATATTGTAAAGAATGAATCTCGAACCGTTATCAATTCTTTCTTTGATCGGGATCGGGATTCGGTATACTCCGTTGTTTACATTGCGACTGCAAGTCGTGTAAGTTTTTGCATCATGATTTACTGATTAAAACAATATTTAGTTGAAAGCGACATACATTGTTATAATTAACGATCACTTTTTCTCTACACAGTCAAAATGTAACACAGATTTTAACTCTTAAAAAGCCGCTTCTTCATTCCATTGAACTAAATTGTAACGATATTTTGAAATGAGTAAACCGTTAAAGTTAACGATAAAATTTTACCGTATTCTGTATGGTTATGTAAAACAGACCATGCACAATATTAAAAACATGTTGTTTTTCCTCGAGTAATTATTATTTTACGCATAAACTTCATTCAGAAAGGAATTTTAATTAAAAGGTCATTACTAAGCCGTCATTAATTATAATGACCGGGTCATTATATCCCACGTGCAAAGTTTCCTAGGTCATAATTGCTGTAAACAGTATCTTTTGGAGTCATTATTGAGTTTTAAAGTTTTCTTATCAGCCAATCAAATTCTAGTATTATCAATAGAGGTATAATAATCATATTTATATGGAAGCATCCTCAGGTAGTGTAGATTCAAATTTGTTCAGATAATGACCCCAAGGGGTTCTGAGGGGCCACATGGTCGATCAAATATTTACATAGAAATATACAATAAAATTTGTTTAAAATCTTCCCAAGAATAGTATAGCCATGATTGATCATTATTTATATGAGAGCATCCTCAGGTAGTGAAGATTGAAGTTTTTTTTTCAAAACATTACCCCTGGGGGTATGGCGGACCCACAATGGCAAATCAATGTTTTATATAGAAATATATAGGAAAATTCATTAAAAATCTTCTTCACAAGAATATCAAAGCCATTAATGATTATATTTATATTGATTCATCCTCAGATAGTGTCAATTCAAATTTCCTAGTCACAGTGCTAAGGTGAGCGATATGGCCCATGGGCCTCTTGTTGCTACTTGAAAACACACAGTAGTCTATTTTATAGAGTGTTATAGTATAACAGCTCTATCAAACACTTTATTGTAATAACCTATGATTTAGGATTTGTAAGAATGTAGTTTTTAACATGATTATTCTTTTGTAAATTACAAAGTTTGCACACTGGATTGTAAACACAATGTTATTGAATGTCAGGTTTTAAATGATTTCATGTTAACATCTATAAAAATCTGAACAAGAAATATTCGCGATGTTGATTCTCCCGCAAAACTAGCGAAAATTTCCCGCACACGAAAAAGTTTGTTTGCAATTACAGTATGTAGCACACTACTTTATATAGTGTCTGCATTATAACGTGTGAGTAGAGTACGTTTCTCTGGTTGTAAGAAATCATTGTAATAGTTATTGTTAACCTAATTAATTTAACGTTAAGATGATTCAGAGACCGTTAATTTCTGACAGTAGGCCAGTGGTGAACTGTACAGACAAGTTGTTAGAGTTCTTGTTGAACACATTGTAGCTGATTCTAAAAAAAAATCATTTTAATACAAATTTGAAATGCAGTTGTACAGCTTAACTCGGTTTTAATGAAGTCACTGGGACCTATGAAATTTCTTTGCTATATCTATAATTCATTATATCCGTATAAGAAATTCATGAAATCTTTATAGTTGATCTAAGATGACTTCACTATATGTATCTGTAAATTCGCAATATCCGTGTTCGTTCTAAACGAGTTTTGCTGTACGTAGGTATTTCGAAACACCGATATCTCAAACACCATGGATACTGTAGATTGACAAATAGTCACGACAGGTTTGAATTATACATGTTTGGTGTTTGCAATTTATTATTTTTTTCACGAAATTAAACTGATTGTGAATGCTATTATTGGATTTAGAAACATCTAAATTTTATATAAAATTCAAATTAATTTTTCTTGCAGCCTGAAATTAAAACCATCGCTAATGGTAGTTTTTTTGAGAAATTCTGAAATTTTAGCATTTTGGAATTAAAAAGACTTGTAGTATATCAAAGTGATATATTTAAATCCCAACTACTTATTTATTAATTATATACCCTTGATCTCTAGCATCCTTTGAAACCGTATAAGCAGAATTTTCATCAAATTTATATTTTGGCATTATTAAATCCTTTTATAATCATTCCATACAAATAATATTCATGGTGTAATCTGTTGAGATATGAGTGGCAGACAGAAAATTCAATAAAGTGTTACCTTCAATGCTATAAATTTCTAGAAAATCTTATCATTAGAATGAGACACAGTTATTTAGACTGATATTCCAAAAAAAAAAAATTATGGGTAAGAAATAAATTCGTTATCCAGGTTCAATCAAGGGTGTACAGTGATTTACCCAGGGTTGTAACATTCCATAAACCTTTCGGCCTCAGGGTGTATGGAATAAAACTTGGGTGAAAAATACCCCTATACACCCTTGGTTGGACCTTGATAACTAATAATGATCACAAAAATAACCTACAAACAACATAAATCTGAGAACAGGCTGTGACACTGAGACCCTCGGATTCAGGTACCTAGGTAGGAGTAAGCATCCCCTGTTGACCGGTAAAACTCACCGTCATTATCCCTACGTCATTATACAGTAGATGAGACATATCATTACACCTAATGATTAGGTTATATGATAACCATAAAATTTACAAAACTCTGACTAAAGCTGAACACGACTCGTAAATAGAGAAAAGCCATTATTGTAAGTTTCTTTGGCATCTTACTTTCCTGCATTATGAGTTTTTTTTTTTCACTATGGAAAACTGTATAGCATGCGCCCATCTACACCTATGGCTACTTGCTACTTAAAAGTAACTTAGTCAGCCACTTTATATAAAGATCCTCAGATATAGCAAAAGTCCAATCGAATATGGCGGACACATTCCTTAACCATTGTGTTCAGCTTTAAAGATGTTAGTTATTCCCCTGCAATAGAGTTGGAGGATATAATTATGCAATTGTTTGGTGGTTTTTAGCTCTATTGGTTAGAGACCAGAAGAGATTATGCGATAGTAATGCGTCCGGCGTCCATCTAGCTGTCTGTTTGTCTAGCTGTCTGCAAAAACTTTAACCTTGCCCATAACTTTTGATTTAGTGGAAATGACTTTCCTATTTCACATGTGTATTCCTTGTGACAAGACCTTTCTTTGGGTATCACCAATTTTGACCTTGGACTTTGACCAACTTTTTACACAAATATTGCAAACATTTACTTTGGCCATATCTTAAGAACAGTATATACCAGGACATTTTTACTTGACATGTATATTTTTTGTAAAAAGACCTTGGATACCAGCAACTTTCATCTTTTGACCTTGGAGATTTCCGTACATATGAAAAAAACTTTGACCTTGGTCATAACTTTAGAACAGTAAGGACTAGTTCTTTCATACTTCACAAATGTAATCCTTATTATTAAAAATAAATTTACTGCTGCACACTACCGATGCGTTTGTGATCTGTTTTATATCTCGATCAAAATGTAATCCTTGTGAGAAAACTTTTCATTGGATACCAAGAACCTTGACCATTTGCCCTGGAGTTTGACCTACTTGTAAAAAGCCAACCTTGACCATAACTTTTAACGGTACTTTTTCCTGTATAATATTACAACTTATATATTTTAATAGCATTTCACACAAAAATTAATTAAAAGTCTTATTTCATTTAAAAGATATTAAAACTTTAAATTTTTTGGCGGGTCTGATTGACACATTAGCACGGGCCAATTTCAACCAAACTTGCCACAAAGCATCCTTGGGTGAAGGGAATTCAAGTTTGTTCAAATGAAGGGCCACGCTCTCATTCTAGGGGAGATAACTGGGAATTAATGAAAATTTGGTGGGATGTTTTAAAAATCTTCTCAAGAACCACTGTACCAGGAAAGATGAAAGTTAAAGGGAAGCATCCTCAGGTAGTGTAGATTCAAATTTGTTCAAATCATGACCCCCAGAGGTAGGGAGGGACCAAATGGCCGATCAAAGTTTTACATAGAAATATATAGGAATATATAGGAAAATCCCATGACGAAATTGTTTACCTATAGTCTGTTTTTACCCTATGTGATGTTCAATACGTCACATTATACTTGGTTCAGAATCACATAGGGTAAAAACAGACTATAGGAACTCTTTTATTCGAGGAGGTAAACAATTTCGTCACGGGAGCCATATTTTGAACTGAGATTTCAGTGAATATTTTTATGTTGGGATTTACATGCCTAAACGGTAAGCAATGTAGAAATAATAGTGACAGAGAGTCAAATAAACAACTAACTGACTTAATTGAAGCGAACGGCAGTGTGGTCAAGGTGAATAATTCTTGCTATAGTCGACCGAATTTGGGACTTAATTTCCAGACATGAATTATT